ACACTTGGACTTGACACCTTCCTAGCTTCATTCGAATTTGATTTCCTTCATGCGGGCATACGAATTAGTGTGCAAATATTTGCAGATTGGGGCCATTATTTTTATTTTCTTCACCATCTTCCACCTCCAACGACAGATGTTGGAGAGGAAATTTGGTTGGGTTTCTCTGAAGCAGGGGAGGAAACTATTCAAACTCTTCTACATGATCGTGCCCGTGTCGGAGAGAGCTACCGACTCAACCTTCGTCTAGGAGGTCTCTACGTTTGAGAACGGGGAGGATTTGATAGACGAGGACAACAAGATAGTTGCCCGGAGACTGTTCTTGTTTACCTTTATGCTGGGTTGGGACCCATTTTACCCGCTCAAACGATAAGTATATAGTCACTCCTTACCAATTAGGGGACGATGATCGGGCCAGCTACGCCAAACTGGTGGCTTTCGTGGATGGTTTTCTCCCCTTCTAGTGCATGACTCGTGCTGGGAAGATACTCTATGAAGAAGATGGAGGGCCTCAGGTGAATGCCCGATATATCAACACAAAAGAGCTCCTCGAGTGTAGCGGAAAGGCTCTTGAGCTTTTGGTTAGCTTTTCTACGAAAGGAGAAAATACGGGGATGACAAGTTTCCCACAGACGACGCCACTGATTTTGTCGGCTGATCAGAACTTGGAATGGGCCAGAGACAAACGCGTGTAATGCTGGGTGTGAGAGGAGGATGTGGTGTACCTGTAAGACACTCCAATGCTAAAGTAAGAATCGGGCAAGAGTGAGTGAGAGAGAGAGAGAGAGAGAGAGAGAGAGAGAGAGAGAGAGAGCAAGTACGGAATGTGAGTATATCAGGGTGAATATTGGATACCTGACCCTCTCAAGTGAGAGGGTTTTTATAGTGCCCCTAGCGCTTGGCCGTTGGTCCTATTTTCGGGGTGAGATAACCGTTTCCCAAAGAATAGGTAACTGTCAGAACTAGCCGTTGGAACGGACAGAGGTTCCTATAACTAGTCGTTGCTACGGGCAGGGGCGCAGTTACGGGCACAAGAGTCCTGGCTGTTTCTGGGTGGCGGAACCGTGTGTGATGGGCAAGAACTACTGAGGAGAAGCGTTGTGACCAATGATAAATTGGCCAGCCTCCCATGTTGGAAGGGCAAAAAGGTAAATGCTCCCCCCAAATTGGGTGGACTTAGGCAATTGGGTTGTTCTGGAAGCAGAAGTGGATTGGGCCATGCCTAGCCATTTGTCCAGTCCGGAACAGTTTTTGAAATGAAGATACCCTAATTTTAGCAAAGAAAGAGATAGCAAAATGAAACAATGAAAGAAAATGCAAGGTTGAAGAAGAAAGTAAGGTTAAATAAGAAGATATGAAACCTTAATTTCATGATGCAAATGATGCAATTCATGTCACAACCTTAATTACATGATGCAATTTCAAGGCAATTGAAGAAGCTAGCTGTAATGATAACCCGAATCACAACCAGTTGAAAGCGTTTGCAACCCTTTGGTCTATTCAATTGTCGATTAGGGTTAAGGTCTTTGGGTGGAAAGTTTTACTGAATAGGCTGACCATTAAAGATCTTCTTCATAGTAGAGGAATTTTTAGTTCCAATCATGGTCTTCCTTGTGCTTTCTGTTTTTGAGCGGATGAAAATCTAAAACATATTTTCTTAAATTGCGATGTTGTTAAGGAGGTCAAGTACACTTTCTTGAAAAGAGAGGATATAATTAGTTACTACTTGAAGACTTGTGATTTTTTAAGAAGGAAAGTTATGAAGAATAAAGAAGGAATCATTTTGTGAATTGTCCTTTGAAGCATTTGAAAGCTTAGAAACACCATTGCATTTGAAGGTCAGTTTTTTAATGTCAACAACATTGTGTGATCCATTAAATTCTTTAGTTGGAAGTAGTATGTAATGAAAGATGTGTCTCTTCCCAACTTTAATTTCTATGATTTTGTTATGCTCTTTTGAGTTGTATGTCATAGTTAAGTTGGATTGACTTTTTATCTTGTAATTTTGGATTAGAATATTTTTTATACTCTTCTATTAAAATTCTTTGTTTATTAAAAAAAAATTGTTTAAAACAATTAGTGAAATTAAGAAATCAAAATAATTATTTTTTAAATTAACGGACGGATGACGACTAAAAAATATGAAACCTTAATAAGAAAAATAGAAAATGATACAAATATTATCAATTAGATATACGATACATTTAAAAAAAGTATTTGATGTTATATTAAAAATTGATAAGAATTGAAATAGTTTTTTAAAGTTGAAAACAAGAAAAGGTCACATTGAATGTCCCAAAAATCGACTGCATTATGTCCGTTACACGTGGGCTATTGTTTTATTAGCGTGGACTGAACGTCACCTTCTATTCTCATCCAAATCAAATCCAACCGTCCATTTACTCACCACACCGACATCACTAACCATCCGATTTCATCCACCTCTCCACTGTTCCACCCACTAATTACAATCACATCAAATTCATAATCATCATCCCAAACTAAAACTCATTTATTTTCCGTAAATCCCATATTTGACTAATAATTAATCGTTTTCTATAAGAAATTAAACTAAAAGAAACTCAAAGACAAGGAAGGTTATGAGAGGTTGTGTCGGCCACCTTTTATTAAAATAGTTGAATATTATTATTATCTCTAAAAGAAACTCTCCACGTGGCAACTTCAATATGCAACACACGGAAATTTTATTGCTCTATAATTTTCCTTCTTGTTGTTTTGTCAAAAAGAAAATGACAAATGCTCTTTGATGTTCTCACTCGGTGCACAGCTATTTATTGTTATTAAATAATCCTAAAATTGAAAAATAAATATATTCAACTCTTTAATTACTAATAGTAGTACTTTATTAAATTTGTCTTAAATAATTAATCTAAATTTATTGCTATTATACCATTGATTTCATTGATTTAAATTTGTTTGTATAAAGTGATAAAAATAGCGAATTCTTAGTGATAGCTGGTGTAAATTAAATGTATTTTGATGTTATAAATATTTTAACTCATATTTAAATGGAGTAATAATCATTTCAATAATTATTAATAATATTATTGAATTTTTTATTAATATAAAAGTAAAACCGATCAAATTCATTAACATTAAGGATGTTTATAAATGTAGATCGATCTATAAATCTGTTGATCTAAACCGAACTAATTTATAAATTATTTAAAATTATTTATGCATGAATATACTCAATCCAACCTATAATAATCTGTATAATTTTGGATCAGCTATTGAATTTGAGTTTTTGAGTTTTGCAATTTGCCGATGCGTTAACTCAATCCTTTAACGTGGATTTAGTAATTTTTTATTATTTTAAATAAAAATATAAAATTAATAGTTCACTTAATATCATAATTTTTTCAAAAATATTTTATTCTCTACCAATAGTACTATTAGATCAATGAATTTACGTTATTTTAAGATTAAATGTTGTTTTTTATTTTCGTTTGTATCATTTTTAATTTATGTATTTTATAAAAAATAATATGTCTCGTTAGTTTTATATTATTATCAATTGTTATGTCGTGTTAGTGTATTTTATTAGATATAATATAATTTGTTTTATCGAATTTGATTGTTATAAATGCATATAATTCTATTGATTTGTGTCACATGTTTTTTAAAGGGACAAAAAAATCATAAAAAAATTATTTTTTATTTGAAACACAATCTGCGAATTCAACCCAACTTATAAATGTGCGAATCCAACTCAACTTATAAACGGATTAATTTGGTTCGATTTTAATAATAAAATTATGGATTAGCGACAAATTCATCTCATTAAAATTTAAATAGGTTGGATAACGAATTAGATCAAACACAATCCAACTCAACTTATATATTATCTGTATTATAATCAAAGACATCTTAAAATTTTGAAAACTCTATTTAAATTTTAATCGGAATTTAACGATAAAAATAAATAAAAAATTTATTTAATCACAAATTAATTATGATAAGAAATTCTATCTAAGTACTTAATGTAACAATTTTAGACTCATATGTTTTATGGTTGTCCGTTTTTCTAAATCAAGTTTAATAATAGGGTGATGTTAACTTATGCTCAAGAGACACAAGTTAAAAACTAAATATAAAAATAATATCTTTGAAATTGTGTCATGCTTTTAATAAAAATAAAAGATTTAATTTTTTATATTAATATTTTCAATACAAACTTTCTATAAATATACTTTTTAATTTGTGCCTTTAAAATACAAGTTAGCATTACTCATTATCATTATAATTTATAAATTTATATAATAATAAAAAATTTGTGTAATAGATATATTATCACAAATTTATAGTTTATTTTTTTATTTATGACTTATTTTTCAAATATTATTTTAAGTAAATTATAATTTATAATTTTTATTTTTTTTTCTTTTATTTTTATCTCCATTACTTTAATTAAAATTCACTATACTTTTATAATTTATTTTTATTTAAAATAAATAATTATATATTAAATATTTTTTATATTATTTTAATTTATTAACTAATTAAACAGTTAAAATTATATTATTAGCTATACGTCATCAATCATAACTAAAAATTATAACCTATCCAGAGACAATTATAAACTGTAAACTTACAATCAACGCTATTTTTATTAAATAAAGTCTAAATAAAAAATAAAAAATTGTTATAAAGCATGAAAGTCCAATTTTAATATTTTTTAATCATATAGATAGTCCATCTAGATATTTATATGAATCGAGAAACACAAGCTACATGGTTATTAGGGGCAGGTGTTTTCCTGGTGTGAACGGAATCTCTCCTATTATTTCTTCCGGTTCTCTCTCCACTGTTTTATCTCTTTTCATTTTCGCAGTTATATAAATACATGTGAAGGCTATTGTTAAAGAAACTAGAAAGATAAGATAGCAACCATATATAGCTATAGTTTAATTAGTTACATGATAGGTATTAGGTAGGTAGGGTATACAACAAGATATAGAGAATATTATTATTGTTCCATGAATTCAACAACCAATACCTCTATTGATAACAACAACAACAATAAGAGTATGAGAAAAGAGAAAAAAGAGATGAAACCTTATAGAGGAATAAGGATGAGAAAGTGGGGAAAATGGGTGGCTGAGATTAGAGAACCAAATAAAAGATCAAGAATTTGGTTAGGTTCTTATATAACTCCTATTGCTGCTGCTCGTGCTTATGATACTGCCGTGTTTTATCTTCGAGGTCCGTCTGCGAACCTTAATTTTCCAGAACTGTTGTTTAAGGATCGAGAAGATGACGACGATGAAGATGAAGAAAGATATGGGAAGAATATGTCGGCAGATTTGATAAGGAAGAAAGCTACTCAAGTTGGTGCTAGAGTTGATGCTTTTGAAACTTCTTTGAATAATCATGTTCGTGTTCATGTTCACTCCAATACAAGTTCTACTTTTAAACCCGACTTGAATGAGTTTCCAAAACCTGAAGATTATTGAGTAAGATTGGTGCCATCGAAAAAAAAATATCATTTTCTTTTTCTGCGATAGCACCAATCATATATATACATGGGAGGTTTGGAATTATTCAGTTTTCATTAATGATGTTTGATATCTTTATTAATTAAATGTATTTTTAGAGTATGTGGTAATTAGTGGCGATAATAAGAAAGATACAGTGGTTCTTATGTGTATGGTTTTGATTAGAATAGTTGGCAAGAGAAAGCAAGAAAAAGATGATAGTGTAATCAAATGATTGTATTGTTATTGAAGAAAATCCTTTTAACTTAATCTTTCATCCAATAGAGAAACAGAATATTCGTTTAGCACTCTATTTATTTATTGAAAGGTGATGATAATGGTGTGTTGATCAATATTATTTGATAGAATTAGATAGGTTATGGAAAGAGGCGAGAGGATAAGGATGCAAACCGCCGCCTTATTAAAGCAATGCAACCATGAGGCTTATGTTGTGTCAATTTGGCTAATAAAAAGTGGATAGAATGACAAGTACACATTACATATTAATGTGATTAAATATGAAGTGCATTTAAACATTATATTTTAGTGTGCTTTTAAACATAAAAGAAATTATGAATTAAGTTATATTAAAAATAAGAAATAATATTTTTTTAAAGTAAAATATTTATAGTGAAAATTGTCAACCAAATAAGAAGAATTTAAAAATTGGATTAGTCAAGTCCGATGAGTTATGAAACTAATTAAAGTCGCATAAAATTGATAAAATCCGATAAACCTTTTTTCAAGTCGCACAAAATTGAATGATAAAATCCGATGAACCTTTTGAAAAAGTGACGGATTATTTTTTTTTGATAATTTTTAATAAATAAAATAAAATATAAATAAATTCTATTCAAATTAAAACTAATTTGTAATATATTTTTTTTGAAATTAAATTTAATAGATAATATACTTATTTGTTATTTGTTATTTGTTTATGTTGTAATTAGACTTTGTTATTTATTCATGAAATTAGACTTTGTTTGATTTAATTTGGTTTAATCATGTGGTTCGATCACGATTAATTCAGTGTCTCGCTCAAGAATCTCACTATTATGATATATTATTGTGATGTAACACACATTTTTGTAGTAGTGTTGATCGAACTACATGATTAAACCAAATTAAATCAAATAAAATATCATAATTTCATAAATAAATAAATAAATAACAAAGTCTAATTTCACGTGGGTCACTAATGGTAGATTTTTGAGCGTTAATAAATATTAAATGGACGACAAAGATTTGTTAAAGGATAATATCCCCTCAGCTAAGAAGAAAACCAATGTGGATAAGATGTTTTTTTTAATTAACATTGTTTATACAAAATATTAAAAATCAAAAGTCAAAAGTCAACTGGGTGCATCTTGGTGATGGAAATCATGCTCATTTCCATTCCACTGTCAGGGGGAAAAACAGGCAAGCTGGGATTCACAAAATTATTCATTAGAATGATAATGCAATCACATAGCACAAGGAGATTGAGAAAGAATTCCTTAACTTCTATGGGGACCTTGTTGGTAAATTCGCCCAGAGAATGATGTAGGTGGATATTGTAGCTTTAGGATAAGGGGTTCAACTACAAGATAGCCATATGGATAGCTTGATTCGACCAGTTACATACCAATAGATTTGGGAGGTCCTCAAGGGCATTGGAGACAGAAACACACACCAGGAATGGACAGTTTCAATGCCAAGTTTTAAAATTCTGCATGGTGTATTATTAAGTCAAATGTCATAGCTATTATCAATGAGTTCTTTGAAGAAAATAGACTTCATGCAGTCTTCAATTGTGCCTTAGTTACATTGATCCCAAAAACTGTCAATGCAACAACCATGAAAGAGATAAGGCCTATAGCCTATTGCACCACCCTATTTAAAATCATTTCCAAAATCTTAACAATATAGAGCAGGAGATTAATGTAGTAGTGGATGAGAACCAATAAGCCTTCTGGGAAAGTAATTCATGACAACATCATTATTGCTCATGAACTATAGAGAGGCTACAACATGAAACACATCTCAGTTAGACGTGACATCCAAATTGATCTGCAAAAGGCATATGATACAATGAAGTGGTTAGCTATGGAAACCATTATGAGAGAAATGAGTTTTCCACCCAAATTCATAAAGTGGATTATGATATGTGTGTGCACAGTTTCATATAAATATGTTATTAATGGGCATCATAGTAAGCATCTGAAAACAAAAAAAGAATTAAGATAAGGGGGTCCCATATCCCCTCTCTTATTTGTCTTAATCATGGAGTACCTTCATAGATGCTTGGGGAAACTGCAGAGCAATCATGAATTCAACTTTCATCCCAAGTGTGAAAAACTTCATCTATCAAATATTTGTTTTGAACACCCAAATATTCTACTCACAACACACTCCTAACTTTAGAGATTGTGTCATATAACAAATTAGAAAATATTGAGGGTGGTAATGAACATCAGTATCTAACTGCGTTTGGATCAAAGCCCATGACTCTTCGCCCCATCTAAGTAAATCTACAATAGCCTAAAAACCAAAATTTCCATCTTCACCCATATCAACAATGTCATAAATGTATGGATGTAAAGAATTAGAAAAGTGAGACAAGTAAACATCTCTCAAAGATGCAGTGGACGATTGACTTCTAGCTGACATACTTGACGGTTGACTTCCAATTAATTTCTTGCATGATCTCTTTGTAGTCTTACTCCCCTGCGAGCCCTCAACATACTTCCATTATGAAGGACCACGATGCACATCACTCTCTTGACCCTTTTTGTTCTTCTTAACTCTCCCTTTTGGATTGCACTTCACCGACAGTGGAAACATATAAGTTGTCGATGGATTTGTTTGTTCCTAAACCTTTTTCTTCAACACCCTCTGGCCTACAATATCCAAAGTACTAAAATATGTCTTCAACTCTTCACACTCTTCTTCTAAATCTAACTTTGTACTACTTTCTTCATGACTGACCTTATGCTCTTCAATGTGTAATTTCTTCCAAAAATCATGAATTTACTCTAAAGGAACATGATTGCCTTGTATTTGGAAACCGGAAAGTTGACACACATATGGTAACCCATGTGTTGTTCTAATGAAGCAACCACGTGCATTTTGGCTTGCACCAAGAAATTTTACAATTTCTATTTCCTTTCTAATGTGTTGTAGACATTGTATTGAAACAAAAACGTGCAAGTTAGCATAAACTAGAGTGTTATAGCGATGCTCAATGTTGACAATACTTTTTTGAAACAAGACTTTAATTGAACAAAGTTGCAACTTCAGCATGGTGTTCACAGTATCCCAACTTCAGCATAAATCTCCTCAGCTTGTATTCAGCATGTTTTTTAGTCTCAAATGAGTAGAATCCATCCTAAAACTCATAAATAGAAATATATGTTAAATTATGTTTAGTAATGCAATAACATTAAAATGACGTATGTGTACCTTTTCATTGTTTTATTCTCTAAATAAGTGACTTTGTTAGTCTAATAAACAACAAACTTTTCTTTATAAGGTGTCAACCATGTTTCACTCACGTACTTAACATGTAAAGGAATATTAGCACAAATAGTCTCAAGTGGTCCAAGTGTACAACAAACTCAGCTTCTCAATTTGAGTACATGATGTTGTTCCATAGATCCATGACATGTTATTGTCTTTCTGATTTAACACATTCTTTACATTTATACTTACGTTTTTTGAAATATGAAACGAGCACAACAGATGAGTTGAATTTGGAAACACAACTTCCATGGTATTCATCACTGCAAATTCCTATCCCGTCACTACAATCTTCGGTAGAAAATTCTCAGAAGAGAACAACTCTTTGAGCTTCTCTAGGACCCATTTGAAGTTCTTTTCCCTTTCATGTTCCAAATAGGCAAAGGCAACCGAAAACATCAATTTTGTTAACGTAACACCAACTATCTCAAGCAGTGGTAGCCAGTATCTGTATAATCACAATGCACATAATAAAAAATCTGCTAAATCAAAATCTGCATTTTTTAATGAGTGAGGAAAGTACCTATTTGTCTTATATGTACAATAAAAAATCAACACCAAATGAAACATATTCAACAACGTCATTGAGTCAGGATGTGTCCAAAAGATACCAACAACAACATTTGTGTCGTCCCTATTCTAGTCAAACACATGTATTTCTCTCTGTGAATAAGACTCAACAACATTTGCATTTTTGTCAATGGACCGCTTTTGCTCGTATTGTATGTAGCTCTAGCTTTATATATCTGGATAGCACTGGTGAGGTTTTCTGAATCTTTGTCTTTCAAAGTAGCAACTATGTACCTTGGAGCCATATTGTACTTCGTCATGTCATTCACAAATTATCTTTCATAATCTTTTAGACGACCCAATATCTCATGGCCAACTAAATTCTTAGATAGTTTATGATTGTGCAACCCGCTCCTAACCATCACCTTCCAACTGCTACCACTTGCTACAGATCTCATCCTAAAAGTTCATTTAACTTTCATACAATAAATAACTTTTGAAGAATTATTGCTTTCAGATGCATTCTTTCTTTTATAGTTTTCTCCTCTCTCACAACTCATAATCCATTTATCTTTCCTCCCTCTCTTCCCATTTGTAGTATCAGAATGAATAGTGATAATAATAATACCATAATGTTTATCAATAGTTTCTGCCCATGCTAATACTTCAGATCGAGACCGGAAAATATATAGCGTTAGTGATGAAGAACTGCATAAAATTTGTACTGGAGTTTGTAGAAAACTCTGTCGCTTCTGGAATACACAAGTAAAGTATTATTCTGCACTACCGAAAATTATGAATATAGGCAAAATTTCTGGAAGTTTTAATTGCTAACCAAAATTTTTGAAAATTACTGATATGTTTTTGGTTTTTTTAAATGAGCACCAGAATTTTTAAAATTGTCGATATTTCGTCATTGAAAATTTCTAAAAAAATTGTAAAAATGCTTGTCTTTTTTAAAAAAGCAAAAA